TCCATACCTCTATGCAGAAGACCCCGAGAGCTTGGAGCACTTTGTGCACCGACTGCCTCACGTTGAGGATTCTCGCTCCCTGTCGGAGCGGCTCGTACCGTCGAGCAGACGAAACGTCACTTCGTACGACGGTGGAGAGCCTGGTCCTGTTGGAAACGGAAGTGTCTGCACTTCGTGCTCAAAACCAGTTGCTGGTTCAGCTTTTAGGTGGTCGAGCGCCTTTGGGCACCGCAGCGGGGTCAACGCTTCCGCGTTAACTTGCGCCGGATCTCAGTACGGCTTATGCAAGCCCTTATTAAACACCGGGTGGGTGCGCATCCTTCTCGGAAGGTTTAGCGTATATGCAAGGCTTCGCCTGGCCACGAACTTAAATGGTCCAATAAACCGTGGACAGAGTTTTGTCTTGAAGACAGCAGCGACTGCATGTTGGGAAGGTTTTTAGCACTTAAACCAGGTCTCCGACCTCAATGTTTTTAGTATTTATTTTGCTTCTTACGCCTGCATATTTTTTCTGCATGTCTTGGCTTTCAGCCATCGGATCGTGAACGTGTCGCAGGACACTCAGTCTGGTCGACAGGATGTCATCGACTTCTTTGCGGATAGTGAGGGACCTGATATCAGCTAGCCGTTCGGCTATTCCTCCCGACCAAGCCCTGAGCCATGGAATTTGGCGTCAGGGGGATGCGAGGATGAATGAGCCCGTTTACGTAGTATGGCGTGTAGCCGGTGAACGAATGCACTGCATTGTTCAGAGCAAACTTACAAGCCCGTTCACGTAGAACAACGTAAAGCCGGTAGACGCATGCACTGCATTGTTCAGAGCGAATTCCACAAGTGGCAGCATGGCTCTTTAGCACTTCGGTGTCTCAGCGCAGACGCTGCGAAGAACGTCTTCAACGTCGCAAGTTACGCGCTCAATTTGACCATCGGTCTGTGGATGGTCCGCTGTTGATTTAGTCAATTTGTTCCCCAACACCTTAAAGATTGTCAATTAAAAATTTCCAGTGAGGCGTTGGTCTCTGTCAGAAACAATTTACTCCGGGATTCCACAATGTCGAAAGACACGATCCACAAACAGATTCACTGTACCCACCGGCCCGGAACTGCCGCAAGATGTGTCATCTTGCTCGAACGGTCCACAAAGACCACCACACCCGTGTTGCCCGCCGAGTCTTTCGGCAGGCCAAACACAACGTCCATACTCATAGACTGAAAACACCCGGAGGGTACCTGTAAATTGGCCAGCGACGCCGCTGCATTCGGAGAGGGTTTAATCCTTTGACACGTCTCACACGTGCGCACATATGTGATCGTCCATTTGTACGGCTTGGGTCACCAGTAGTGGTAACCCATAGGGCTGTAGGTCTGTTCACGACCGAGATGTTCACTGATTGGGGTTCCGTGGGCCTCATAGAGAATACCGGATTTTAATCGTGAAGAACCACAAATCATGGCGTATGAGGCGAATCGGTGCTATAATACAGCAACCTGTTATTTAACGAACATTGGTGTAGCCGTGTACGCAAACGCGTCGACAATGTCTAGTCCGAGTTTTCAGACTCCTTGCCCCCGAAATCCTGTAGCAGCGCTACACAGATACCACCACCCGCGTATGCGGCGCGGATCAAATCTGTCACTGACGACGTCACCGTCGTGACATGAGCAAGCTCAAAATCCGGTCTATGTGATAACGCATCAGCCAAAGCATTATGCTTTCCCGGCTTATACTTCACCTCAAAGTTATATTCTGCAAAGAATGAAAGCCACCTGGCCATCCTCTGCGAGAGATCAGGCAACTGAATCGCAGTGTGTAATGACGCATGATCTGTGTAGATCTCAAGCGGCTTTGAGCCAAGCAGGTGCACCCTGAACTTTACAAGTGTCATCGCAGTTAATTCCTTGTCGCGGACTGGATAGTTCCTATCCGCAGCCTTAAGCTGGCGAGATTCGAACGCGATTTCCCCATCTCGCCCCTCGGCGTCTGGTTGCAGCAGTGTACAGCCGATGGCAAAGTTCGAAGCGTCACAAACGACACAAAAGGGACGATCGGGGTCTGGCAATGCCAGTATTGATGCATGAAGGAGGCTGTCTTTGACCCTGTCAAAAGCCTCCCGATGCTCGGTATCAGTAACATCCATCGACCAAGTCGAGTGCACTGTACTTTGTGCAGTCAGCCATATTGTTCTGGAGAACATCCTTTTTAGGAATCGGCGTCTGTGCCGGAATGGCGGCAGCGTCTGGCTTATTGTAAACGCGGACGATACGCCACTTGCCGTTCTGCTTCCGGACAAAATCGTGGGTTTCGAATGGGGAGACTTACTCTCACGCACCAATTCTGCGTCGTGCTTCGCACGAAAAAGACGTCAATGACGGCACACTGCTCCTTGGGCAGGGGCCATTGGCGTGTTGCACAGTATTTGGTCCCTGGAACACGGTCGATCTCATGACGCACACCTGAGATAGGACTGACGGCGGGTATTTAGAGACGACGTCTTGGAATTTCTTTATTTAAGGATAGTACGGATCCGAAGGATTCAAGATCGACGATCCATTTCGTGCGTTTAGCACCCTCTTTGTGGCCTCCAGGACAGCTTCATCCAGTAGTGACGACGAGTTAATCTCTTCGGTTGGTCGTATAATGACCACATCGGCTGAATTGCCTGCCTCCAAGACATCGCCAAACTCTTCGAAGGGCATCTCGTCCAGCTCAAGAAGGGCATCCACCGCGGGAATAGCCTCGAGGGTGACGTCACCGTCTTCCTCTCCCGTCATACCCGTTGACAAGGATATGTAGCTGTGCGCTATCGTCTACGGTAGACACACCTTGGGCTAGGGCCGACGCCCTGTGTCTTGCATATGATATACGGCTTTGCCGTCTCCTCTCCATAGAGGTTTTACGTCTCATGGAGACCAGTGGAAACACGCACTCGGCGTCGTCACGTGTCCCCACTCCCTGCTCCATCGGAGCCTTGATGTTATTAACAACATACGACGAAAAGCTGCTATTTTCGCAGTCTTTGTCCAGTGGATAACGTACCACTCCACGCGCATCAGAAGGGCCTTGTCCAGGGTGCCTTGGACCTCCTCCGACTATGCCACTCATGATATGCAGCAACTGCTTCGAAACGTAAGCAGTGCTCAGTGGGTTACGTACCACTCCACGCTCAGCCCGCGAGCCATGCTCCCAACTCTTATCCAATACACCTTCGGTGTTCGACAACTCGGATACTCCAAACATCACGAGCCATGGATCGATTGGAGGTGGAACACCTTGAGCGCTACGCACACGTCTTCTGGTGGAGCTTGGTGAGTTCTGCTAGAAAGCAGCACTGGACCAGGATGGTCAATGTGCCAAATATGGCATAAGTGAAAAAGTGGGTCTCTAAGAATTCAATGAACTAGCTAGTATTACCAATACGATTATCATCTGCATATTTTTTTTTGAATGCGACTCAGCTTGATGTTGTACCTAAGACTAGCTGCACACGTATTACCTTTATCTCCTACCAAGTACTAGATCACGATACTTTATTACGGTAATTCATCGCTTACTCTGCCTCCGCAATAGCCTCAGCACTATTGGACTTTACGTTAGTCTGATATACAAAACTGTAATTTGTACGTACACCATAAAAGTGTACGCATTCCGTTAAATGTATTTAGGTGATAAATTTGACTAACCGCAATTTGCCATCTTACGTATGAAGTGCTTGCAGTTTTCAAATCGGAAATTTGCTCTTGCTACTTTATCTCGTTCTGATCGTATTTGAAGAAGCCTGATGTTTACTATTCAGATCCTTTAGCAGATGCAAACACGTCGTAGTTTTATGGGAACTCACTCAACCCGCATTATCAAGATCCTACTTTGGTAGATACCCGTACGAGTGAACGTAATCGTTGGAAGTATGTGCACTGACTCCTACGCATTCTGCTTTGGATCAGCCATATACTTTGGAATATCTCTGGGTGCGTAGAGACATTCGATCTGACAGTACCCCTCTGAAAAGGCGCGCGACAGGCGACCGAAAAAAAGAGAAGAGAAATGATTAGAAGAGAAATGAAGAGAAAAGAAGAATAAACCCACTAATCTGTACTACCTTGTGCCGATATTGCTATTTACTCGTCATATTGTTAGCTGTCCCTTCCCCATGGAGTGGTTGCTGGGTTGTGAAGTTTGACGTGCTACTTGATGCCAGCCTTGCCATGTGTCCAAGAATTGGTCGATCGTTGGGTCAGTAGGCTCATGGAAATGAGAGTGGCAGAGATCAGCATAAAATAAACGAAGACGAAAGTCCGCATTGACATCGGCGTTGTGCTTTAAGCTTATGGAGGCCAATCACCAAACGACGTTTCGTCGGAACTGATTTGGAAGTCCACAAGACTGAACAAAAAAGATGACTGTTTACCCATTAATTATTCCGCATGACCCTTCCAGGCAGCAGTGCAATATGCCCAGCCCTCCCTGAGTGTACCGAGTGGCGTTGCCGCGACTGTTAGCTGTAACGGGTACATATGAAAAATTTTGACCTGCGGGGTCAAAAAGCGCTCACAAAGTGGTCTCGTGAACACAATTTGCCGTTAGACTGAACTGAAAGTCATCACACAAAACAATATAAGGGCTGGATCACGGCGCGCTAGTACACTTTAGTTTTATCAAACGATCAAATCTATAACCGCGACGATATATATTCGTTCTGGACATAGTCATAAGGCAAAACCAACTTTTGCGCTGCCGACAATAAATATATTTTTTCAAAGTAGTACTAACATCATCATCAGCCGTGTAGCGCAATGTATGGCCTCTTTCGCTTAAGGTCAGACTCAGAGTTGCCCGGTTGGGGCACTCTTTCTCGCGTCTCATCGCTGAAATTAAGCTGGCGAAAGCTTCTATTCGAGCAACTACCGTCTTCGGTCTTTTGGCTGTCAATTCCTTGACCTTGTCAGAAACATAAATATGCATTAGCTTTTTAAGCTGGTCAATTAAGATTGCACAAATATCCGGTACTCTACACTGCACTAGCTCAAAAAGATTAATTTACAACTAGATTTAGTCAGCAATATAAACAAATAATGATACTTTTATCTCGCGATTAAACCTGCTTTATGCAAAGCATGAGGCTAGCAATCCCTGATCTTTTATGTACGGTCGCTCAAATATCTTACCTAGTGCCTATTTTTTTGAACCGGATCACGGCTTTAATAGCAAGTGGTCGAATCGAGTCGCTGGATAGATCAAGGCACCTTCTGCCAACGAAAAGAATAGCTACGTACGGAAGACAAGGTACACTCAGATGAGATTACTCACCGAGTTCAAAACATGCCTTCCTTGAATATTTCATGGATTTGCCCATACATTGATTCACGTAAAGGGGTTTCAACGCTGCTTTCATTCACACTCATTGTCGGTGGAAGAACAGATATTGCACAGTCAAGATTATTTTTTAGCGCTTTTTACCCCGCAGATCACATCTTCGTAGGGGTTTCAGCGGTTGGACCAACAGCGGCGATACCAGGTGGTCTCATTTATGAGGCTTGTGAGGCTTAAGCAGTGAAGGCGGCATAACTTCTAAATTATATGATCTCAAGTTTTATATCAAATAATTAGACGTTTGAATATATTGTCGCTACATGCTTGGCTTTTGGAATACAAAGTGCAACGCCAAGGCAGTACCTACACTCGCCGCTGTCATGTATAAATTAGCCACATTTAAAACCACGACTTTGCCGATATGGATACGGTATCCGAAAAAAACCGAGCTTTCTTTTAACAAAAATAGTGCGTTGCGCAACGTGACGTTGCTTCCTACCACGGAGAAGCGATGGATGAGGACGTGTCGCGTTATAAGTATCCACCACGTCAGGGCAATCTTGCTGAGGTGATCTTGAAAACGTACGAAAGTATGGAACTCCTCAATTTTGGCCGAATATTGTTTATGATGCCGATAAGCAAGATGCTATCATATCAGCATTTTTACATGAAAGTGTGCTGATCGTGCAAAATCTCTGGGCGGCGACTTTCGCACAGCGGGGCATTTCCGAGCTTGCGGACTAATGAAACGCATTGGATCCGTCGAGATCCTCATTGTACAGTTTTCTAGATACTGTTTCGTTGCAAGCGGCAATTTGGAGACCCGCAATACAATGAATTCTTTTAAGACACTAAAGGCTAGATGGGCATATTGAACCTGAATGGACGCTTCGTATGTGTGGCTTACCAGAACGGTTTCAAAATGATAGGAGAAGTTCTGCGGTGACTACTGGATATGGTCGCAAACGCTTAGCAATGTCAAGAGTATAACGGAAACGGTAAGTGCCGAAATAAATGAGGAAACAAGTTAGCCTAACAGACTGTAGACACTACGTGTATAAGCTTGATGAATTGCGCTCAATAATTGAGCTTATTTCGCATTTTTAACACAGAAATTTTTCATTTTTTGATATCTGCTTTTTTGCTATTGCATGCCATGCAATTCATCTTGCGGCACCAGCTCTTTCACAAGATAATAAATATGTGTTTCTTACACTTCTGTGGCCAATATTTTGTGATAAAGTACAACCACGCATTGTGTACCTAGCCAACTAATAACAGACTTTGCGAAGTAGTATCCTTGCATTCGCTTGGATATGGTTGACAGCGCTTAATTGATCCGTTGGTAAGGGCGTTGCTCTGCAACGCAGAAGGAATCAAGTCAAATTTGTCACGCGCTCCCCCAATCAGAGGGCAATTTGCATTGTGGGTCTTTTGTTACCATGTTGTGATATTTTAATGACAAGGGAAAGAAATATCCATAATATTATTGTTAATTTCAGGGCTCAAAAACGCCTGACTTCTCGAACATTCCAATATCGTGACAGCCGTTGCGCTTGTGTATGTAAGTCGCACAAATAAAATTGGCAGGTCGGGACCCATTGTCATGATCTTATTGAAAGTCGAAGCGATTTTTGCGCTTATCGACAAGATAGCTAATTCATTTTAAAATGGAATTATCTTGTGTCAGATAATACGCGATAAGTGTATATGTATTACGTTTTGAACTGAAGAGAATAAATAAGCTCCTCGTTACCGAAGAGATTCAGAAGCTGTGTATGTACGCTCTATCGTGGGCAAAGTGCCCATATACTCATGCGTTGTGCATTAGCCAAATAAGACTGACTAGTCGATTAAAAGTTTTCTTCGTGCGACGACCTAGTTTTGTTAGGACGTGAACCTAGATAATAATGTTAAGCAAAAACTCGACTTTCTGTGCTCGAGACAATAAGTCACGCATGACATTATTATCGCTCTACTTGGTTTCGATGATATTGTGCAATCGAAAAAAGGTATAGTCGATTGTTCGGAATTGATAAGCAGATGTAAGAACGCGCTTGTGAGTTATCTCAATGAGCGATATCCAGACGTATGTGTAATCATCGCCGCCTCTGGCGTGTGGATCTTAGAGCTAGTGTTCAAGCATTCGAGGCTGGTACAGTCGACTTGAGCAAAAGGGCTGAGATGGACATGATACGGCACTGCTTAAGACGGAGCATTAGCCTGTCGCGCTAGCGGTCTTCTGTCTGTGACGCTTTGACTTTTGCCAGAAGCTGTGCATTAACAGACGTCAGTGGGCATGATCGCCTGATAGCATTCGAGTCTCACCAGCACAAAGCGGAAGAGAATAACTAACTCATCCAGTACAAGGAGCTAACCGGCATGAGGTATGCTCTTTTGTCATGTTCATAGTAAAGCTACTCCACTCTAAGCTATTCGTGATGTATGTGGATGATGCAGCATTGTGCTCAGCGATGTCATCACCAAAGATCTCAGCAAGATTGGCATGGTTAATCACCTTTTTCGCCAAGTAAGATTAAGCCGAGTCGGCTTTAAGTGGTCGTTTAAACGCTTTTGCATCGTTTAGTCATTATAATGTCGCATGTTTCAATGTGAGGTCACGTGTCGTTATGGCGATACGTACAGCACACGATACTGATGTTACAAGCGATGTATTGTTGAACTTTTTAGAAAGACTTTGACCTATGATGTTGCTTTATCAAAATGTTCAGTTGCGCGTTTGCGCAATTTTTCCGTATCCCACGGTTATCTATCAACCCACTTGGATGTTGCTTTATCAAAATGTTCAGCTGCGCGTTTGCACAATTTTTCCATATCCCACGGTTATCTATTAACCCACTTGACAATGAACGTGTAGTAATTCTTCTGAATGAAGATCTCAAGTACAGAATACTGTACAAGGCACTTGACACCCCTTTAGACGGTCATTCTGGAAATTTAAGAGTGAACACTATGTACTGGAAGTCCCGCATGTAGCGATGATGTTCGAACGTGCAAAGCGTGTCGGCCAGTACACCCCTCGCTATGTGCGTCGATGACCATGGTCATATTGTCAATTCGGATAGAGTTCTGGTAGTCCGTACGTATGGACTTCGTCTTTGGCCTTACAAACCACATATCCTATAAAACCGAAATTTTGTCTTTGTGGGTCGTCTGGACAAGATGGCATTCAATAACGCCTGCAGGTCGGAGTCTGGTGAGAATACAACCAATCTTGTGCAAAAATATGCACTTGAGTTTGAATGATCCCAAAACAATCGCCACGATAAAGCCATGCGGCAAAATAATTTGCAAATCAACAAATTATTGTAATTTGAAAGAAGTACAACCTGACTATTTTGGGTAATTTACTGCGGAAGCTACAAGAGATCAGGCTATCTCTTGAAACTTAAATAAAATTCAGCAACTTTCGGGTTTTAGCAGACTTATTGAACCTTTCCACAATTCTTCAATCTGCATTAGAGTGCAAAAGGCTGTCAAAAACAAAACAAAAATTAATTTTCTAGCAGCTACCCTCTGCGATCCAGATTTGAGCCCTAAGCGCATCAACTGACTCATCTCAGTATCTGCCACACAATAAGATCCTCGGCGCTTCGCCGTAAACATAAAAGTACACGAAAGCTGGCAGGTCATCCTCCGCCGCCTACGTTTTACGGGAAAGGGAAGGCATAGTTTCATGGTGTGCGAATAGTAGTCTGGTTGGTTCATCAGAGCTGTAATCAAGAACTGGTGAAGTTAAAGGAAACCCATATTGTACAAAATGGTAGTTTGAGGCCCCACTTTGACAAGGCTGTCCTGACGCCTTAACAACTTTGATTGGCGCATCCTCTACTTTTGTCTGCCAAAAAGACGAGGCAGAAATAGGTTGTTGGACACGCTTTCTAATATAGTAAACGGCTTATACTCGCTACAAGTTCGAATTTTGGCTGGCTACTGTGTCAGCAAGCTCAGAGATATAAGATGGCTGTTAACATCAAGAACTTGGGGTGGCGAGCGTCCACATGACGTGTTGTGCACCTAGCAGATTAAACAGTAGACATGTTCAAGTCTGATGTATGCTTCGTTGGAGATGGCTTGGAAGTCGTAAAAGAGGCAAGGCAGTGTGTTTTACCGGTTTAGTGCCCGGATTGGAGGGATTCTTTTTGGCTCTTTCGACAACTTTGGTACCGATTATACGGCTCCTAACTTTACTTATCCACTGCTTTACTAAGCACATTTGGTCCTTTTAAAAAGTGGTCTCCGGAGGAGTCAGAAAATGCCCGAAAAAAATGTAGAGCTCGTTTTCTTATTTCTTTGAGCGGAAACCCATTACGCATAAGTGTGAAGGGCTCAGACGTGGGCAACTCCTGACAAATCGTATCCATATTCACGACGTGATTGAGCTTGCAAATACTATTGGGGAATCTTGCGGTTACGAGTGAGCGTAGCCCGCCGACCAATGCCCACTTCATTAATGACATTTGCGGGGGATGTCGTAGCACCCATACCGACGAGAAGAGTAAGGAGTTCGCTAACTATGCAGAGATGAGGCGGAGCGCAAAAATGCCCTACTTCGTTGAGGTTCTTGTAGATAAAAAATGAATTCGCATTTTTCTCCCAGGCGGAGCGCAAAAATGCCCTACTTCGTTGAGGTTCTTGTAGATAAAAAATGAATTCGCATTTTTCTCCCAGTGTCAGGGAAAAGTACGGGTCGCGATTTAGAGTAAGTACCTCCATTTGCAGCGAATAATCTCTCGATCGCGCTCGAGAATGGAGCGTATGTTGTCAACCGTGACGGTCATTCCTTTCTCAGGTGGCTTGCCAAACATTGGCACCTACTGCAAATTTTGCTAGGAAAAACAGGTACTTGTCGTTGTAATGCTGGGAGTCAATCTCCTGGTGCAGTGGGTGCTCGTGGAGCGTTCGCCGTTATGCAAGCTTTTAAGAAGAAAAATGAGTGTGATCCCAGTGTGGTACAGAGAAGGATGCAATGAGTTTGAATTTTATTATGATGCACGTGCATATCATTCTATTGTCACCATTGTCTCTCAGACGATCGTGATACCACCATAATGATGAACTACCATGATTAGTACTGGTACGGATATGAGTGCAAGTGTCCCGTAAAAAAGATATTTGCATGATACATGGGCCGCTGATCTCATGCTACGCAGCATTACACTGTGGTATATATGAGATAATCATACTACTATTAAAAAGCTAAAATGTAAACAGAAGTCGCTTCCAGATTATAAAGAGCAAATATATACTGATTTTGTTATGTACCGTCCCCGATTCTGACCAGTACGCTATCATCCCGGCTTTGACCGATAAGCTATCCTACCATTCCATTGCACAATATTTAGCTAGCTGACCCCACCTCAAATGATACAATCAGATTTGCTCATAATGTACCATATCGACCTCACATCCGAAAGTCACATGTTGTAGAAATAGGATGTGCTAAGTTACGCAAGAAAATACCACTTTTCATGTGCGTCAATATTTCCACTTCCACCTCAACTCCAATGGCAGATCGTTTATTAACACATGAATACTATAAGTGACGCTGAGATTTGTCCGGGATGAAGAATGACGCTGAACAATCGGGCTGTCACTTCTCGTCCAATTAGCCTGGCAACCACGTTTACCTATCCAGCACCCAAATACGCTCGGCGGTAATCTTTCTAACCTGCTATGGCGTCCGGTCTTCCAGTTTAGCCATCAATTTAACGAAGAGAGCATTTAATCCATCGCCAACGCAAGCCACGAGTTGTCTTGCACTTGACCTACTATCACGAAATTAAATTGTATCGCGTTAATGGCATTGCTATATCTTAAAATTGATTAGAGGGAGTGTAACATAATTGTTTTGATAAATAGAATGATACGTAACCATCTTTAGGATCCTTCATCATTTTCTGGAGTTTCACAATTGCAAATCATAGGCATATCCGGTAGTTTCTCGCTAGCTTTTCAGTTCCGCTCCAGGGCAGACCGTGTGATTCATTCTCCGTGCGCTTGTTAGCGCAGAATCGTAGGTTCGGAGCCTTCTTTGTATGGGGGTAAACAGCAAAGGGGTTGCTGTACTCTTGAAATATGATCCCATTTCAATTTTCGACAATTATAATCTAGCGTGGCGCGCAATTTACTATCATTTGGTATGCTATTCGGGTACGAATGTGTGACAATGAATAATCTGATCGTTTTTGCAACGATGTTGCCGTGCACTTTGCACACAAAAAGCTTCTACTCTCAGAGTCCGCGCTAATAAATGCATAGAAATGGGTTAGTGTGCTTTAATCAGGAGCGGAACCAAGAGTCTCTCAGACAACTATTGCTATTACAGTCATCCGTCGGATAATCATATCCGAGTAACTCATAACCTCGTATAACTAATAAAGAATTGTTCCACCAAGCTCATTTGTATGTAGCCAAGTACTAGCTCATAAATAGTAGTAGCCAATTATGAATTACCCGAGTAATAAGCGCTTTCCCTGACTCGCGTTTTTCGGGTCTTTCTGTCACATTGACAAAATGCGACGTTAGGTACTGTGTTAGTCAACATTTTTTTTACAAACATGGATTTTGTTGAGTGTAGAAGACAATGAAGTGCCAAGCAATCATTTAAACTAATTTGAATCCAGCCACGAGCGGATGGTAGCCTGGACTGTCGCCTTTGTATTGAGAGATTTCTACAGTTCTCGAATGAGCCCGATTACTACTTTATATGTGGTAATTGTCCCATCCAGCAGTGAAGCAGTAATTGCTAGGTTCTTTAGCTTTTTTAAGATTCGTAACTATCTGTTTTATCTTCGTTTTTATGATCGTCGTTCTCCTCTTCTTCTGCCTCCTGGTCCATGGCTATAATCTCGTCATCATTCAGCTCCAAATTGGCTGTGTCGTCCTTCGTCACAGGACTGAACAGCTCTTTAATAGCCATCAGATTATTAAGAAGAAGCCTTTGGATAGCGTCGCACACGTCCATTTCAATGTATTGCTCCTCCAATTTGGGCACCGATATTTGAGGAGGCCCTGCAAAGAGACCAGGGTGGCGAAAACAATTGACCACGGTAGTTACTAACATCTTTCCCAAGCTGCTTTGCTCCATTTCATTGCTATTAGATGATCAATCTATAGATATTGCTTTTATCTCAATCGTCATGATCAACAGCACATTCAAGATGATAACGTCTGTAATGTCGCTTGAATGCGGAGGGTATCCCAGCATCTATGAGCTGGATATTAGGCGTGCAGTTTGGAGGAAGGAAGACCACCTCAACATTGTGATCGTCGACTATGTGAGAAGTGGCGTCATCTAGTATAAGATGGATCCGTCAAGCTTTGACCTAAGAGAATCGTGATTGAATAATTAGGAACGCATCTAAAAACTTTACATGTTGTACCTTCATGTCGTTGTCAAGCCTTTTCAACCACTTCGGGAAGAGAGCGCCCGTCATCCACACTTTTTTTATTGCTGCGATAATAGAAACTCAGTTGCTCTCCTGTCTTATGATTGTAACAGCGAGGCTCAATGGCCTTTACAATGAACAATGACTTGAGCTTCTCTGACCCATCTGCGTTGGCAGCAAAGACAATCGTGATGCGGTTCTATAAGAACGATAGTTTAATCAACCTTTTCATTTAACAGACCATGATTATATGCAAACAAACTTACTTTGTCTTGTCCACGTCCCTTAATGTGCAATGGTCTTTCAATGAAATAATCTTACGAAGACATCAATTAAAAACTCCCATGTTAAGTACGTTGCTAACACTCAAGTACATATATGTGAACTTATCTCTATTGAGATTAATACCAAATATTATAGTATTTTCATGGTGTGGCTAGCAACCCATGCGTACCTCGGACACCTCATAATCTTCATAAATATCGATTTTCAGTTATTCTGAATATTCAATTGCACCGAGTGTAATGTACAGTTATGAGTTAAGGTACAAGTTGCAACTTCATATTTCTGTCAATGATATAATGGATTTCACAACATTTCGTATCTTTCGAGTTAGAGATCCGAACAAATTCATCGGTATCGAATTCCTTTGCAACTCACGTAGCATTCACTTGCCGGTAAGTCAAGTCAATCCCGCATATATGTTGTTCTTTCGCCTGTTGAGGTTGTGATCAGGCGACTGGACTTATCGAAAATTACTGGAGTTCAGTCTGGACTGATCTGATCTGGCGACGGAAGAAGATTTTCGGTAAATGATGGAGACTGTAGCTTATATTATATGCACTTGAACTTGTTACATCAAAGTAGCCAATGTGACTGGATTGTAAAAAAGATTCAGACAATTGTTTCACACATTCTTGATCGAATGATATTAATAACTTGAAGGATGGTCACCATAACGCCGATTTCACTCTAGCATGACACATACAATGGCGTGTGCCGTGAAATTCAAATTATCAACCGCTCTTGGGTAGCATATGCCCGCATTAGGCAACAGCTCATGTAGATTACCCGATTTGTAGAGTTGTCCCCAATCAGTTTTAATGTAGAGTGGTAAAGTGACTTGTTCTAATCTTCCACAAGTTTGTTTGGACGGGATGTTGAAGCTCGTAAGCCAATCAGATGGCAATGGTTCATGGAGCGTTGGTCTGAATCAACATGAAAAATCTCCGCTGGTAGCGTTTCTTTAGATTATCCGTGGTCAACCAGCCCGAGACGCTCGAATAAATACGTCTTTGTCGTCATAGGCTGTCTAGATGCGGAGTATGGCTTGCGTGAGGTGCATCATCATAATTTCATTCGTCAGTGACAAAATAGATGAGATGGTTGCTCAGCCACCGCTCACTAGCCGTTTGTTAGCGCAAAATAGAATTGAGGCTCTGCTGACTCCGTACCGGCTGTAACGCGCGACGAGAAACGCCACATCATAGAAGCCGTAGACCATTCAGTTTCGCTTTTGAGGTCGCACGCGAACGTATCAAACTAATTTCCTTACATGCACAGCGCGGCTTAAACGACAAAAGTAAAGTTAGATATCAACATAATACATGACTGATTTCAACCCGTTAGCTAGGTCGCCTTTGGTTGGAACCCCTCTACCCTTACGATCTGGCTTCGCGAACGGAACGGACGGATCGGACGGATCGGACGGATCGGATGATAGCAGTGTTGACACTATTGGGGAGACAGCGACTATGTGTGTCAAAGAGCGCGAACGTCTTACAACAGTGGCAAAACGGATGACTGAAAGTCTACTGGAAGCCACAGATTTGCTCGGTGGAATTCCGTGGATGCTTGTGCACGAGAAGCACGGGATATCGCTCTTTCGCGCTGACGCTGCGACCAACGTGCCATGCAATGTCCATGCCGTGTGTCGATTTGCCTGTGACATCGAAGACGTTGCTGCATCACTTATCACGCCAACGACGAACTCGTTTAAACGAATGATGACCATGCTTTCATCCGATTTCTTAGATGGCGCTGTGGTGCACACAATCGTTGAGCCCACACCAGCCACGCCCCACCGTCATGTCGCTCTTAAGTGGGCGGCTTTTAAAAGCTCTGGGCCTTTTGCTAAAGACCGCGATTTACTTATGCTTGAATATGTCGACATGATAGAGGATACACAGGGACAGAGGACTGCGTTTCGCATAATGGAATCAATCGACACTCCACCAGGTTTTTCTGATTTTGCCGAGTCTTCAAAGTATACTCGCGATCTCGTACCACTCATTGGATTCATGTATCACTCGACAAAACGCACGGGCGAGCTACGAATGACATATACGTGCAACTTTGACAAGAATGGCGACCTTCCTGCTTGGGTGGCAAATTCGGCCATTCAATCGCATGTAGAAAAGTGTATTAATGGAATCTTGAGATATACGGAAAACTTTCGTTTAGGTCGCGAAGAGATTGTGCTTTCTCAACAAGTTGTTCCAATGGGTGAGCAGGATCATTGCCGAATTTGTTCGAAGAAGTTCTGTGTGCGTCGTCGCCGTTACAATTGTCTTAAATGCGGTGATGTGTGCTGCAGCTCTTGTAGTTCGGTACGCAGTACATACGTACCAGAGATTGGCGAGCGTCAGCTTCGAGTTTGCACAGCATGCGTCATTAAAGCGCGTCAGGCGTTGCGTACCGCTACTAATTGCTTGGATCAGGTAGGCGCTTTGTCAGGCTGCAGTAGTAGCTCAAACCAGGTTCAATCAGACGAGTGCAAATCGCCTCGCATACTTAATCGCGCACAGAGCTTCACGGTGACCAGACCCGAGACGAAGTACGACACTCCAAAGCGTCGATCTTACGACGATCTTCTTGATCCCGTACGCTGCCGACTCATAGAATATAAGACATTTTCATTAGGTACTGACGAGAGACATGGCGCTACTACTGGCTCATTCATCGGTGTGCCTAAGGCTAGCTTCCCAACTCGATCTTTTAGTGATGGTCTTGTTATGCGTAACAAAGCCCTCTTTACGGCTAAACGTCGAGGCAGCCCAGCAGATCTAGCCATTTCGATCGAAGCCTTTCGTTTGCACCAACTGCGTATGGGCAATGCTGAACGCCATCCTGAGAATGATTTGGATGAAAATGGCAATAATACGGACGACGAGTCTTGTACATCGTGCTCTTCCGATTCGCCGACGGACACGATGAAACGACGGTCGCCCACAGTCCCACTTCCTTGTACTGGCCGCTATTGCGCTCAAGCTAATGATGTGAGAGTTCAAGATCCAATGACGAAAAATGGGGAAGACAAGTCTGAATTTGGTGAAGCGATGGCGCGCGCCAAGAACATCATTATTGCAGCTAAATACGCAAACAATCTGGCCCAGGAAGCCCGAAAGATTTCGCATAGCCGTGTAGTAGCACTTCAACAAGAGCACGAGGTCATGGCACCTATGCATCGTAATGATGGCGACCAGAGCAGTAATAACCCTCGTCATAGCCACCATGGAAGTCGTTTTGAATCATCGGCGGGTGTTGGAGCCGTGCTGTTTTCTAAATGACGCTCGCTCGCTGTTCGCTCCAAATAGGTGGAAGAATCATGAAGACAGCAATAAACTTAAGCAAAAAGCACCGTTCGGGCCGATTGTGAGTTAGTAACGTAGAAAATATGCTCGGCTACCAGAGTGTGAATGTGAGTAAGTGTTTGGGCATGTACCCGTGAGTCAGTTCTAACTAGTGAACTTGCACGCTTAAGTATTTTGTCCATCTTAACAAGAAAGTTGAGCTTTTTGGACGTCATTTCGATCAACTTCTTTTGAAACATCATGTTCCTATTAGTGTTTCATAAAGTTGTGATAAGATAAGCAATCTTTTGTGCATTTAATAAACAATTCGCACGCAAGATCGGCAAATCAGATTATACAAAGTTCTATTCGCACAACGTAATAAGAAACATGTGCAAAAGGGGCAGCAAGATTAATAAGCTTGGAAATCATTCGCTCAAATTTTAACATTGAGTCTTCACTTATGTCGGCGTATTCAGAATATATCACATCAGCAGACACGAAGTTGATCTACGTACCCGCTTGCACAACTCAAGGTGATCAAATCCTAGGAACGATAGTAGAGTGATGGTAGCTTTTCACAGAAAAAATGAATCCTGGGGTTGCCGTCACTCTAATTATGCATGTAGTTGTTGGAATTTGAAGTTTTAGTTTTGTTATTCGTGGAAACATCTGCTAAGTGGTGTTCGGGACACAGTGATAGAGTGTGCTGTTTCGCGGCGGAACGCGGTGTTGTCATGAAATTATTTAGCTGAGCGCGGCGGTAAAGTCGGTGTGTTGCTCCTTGGACTATGTTAATTCCGCGTAGCTATCGAGAATCATACCCGCGATACTGTAATGACAAGATTAGGTCAACCAAGTGAGATACCGATAGTCAAGTTACTCTTTTGTGGCTTTTCTTAGCGTGAGCAGCTGCTGCTTTAATTTTACGTTTTCAAATGCCAGTCTCACGCCAGTAGTTGTGCGGAATCAAGTCCTGGATGTTGTAAACATAAATTAGCGGTAACTGAGCATTTGCATAAATGGAGGTTTTTAACCTAAGAGTTCATAATTACATCTGCCAGGCGCGGAAGCGAGGGTCTTACCTTGACACGATATCTAGTAGCTCTGCCATTTTGATGTTTTTAACGTGCATATTGTGGATTAAACTAACACCACCTTTTACTGTCTCTTAGATCAGAAAAAAATATTTTTTATTACGTTCGGCTAATACTCCATGTGTCGGAGTACTAAAGTGCCATGTAAATTTTGAACAATAGTTCCGTGCTGTATATTCTATATAATTGTACTAAAAGTGCTAGGCGCAAGTACATTAGATTAAAGTACTTATTTCGTTACCCTCACATATTGAGATGTGGGCCACACTAATTCTGTATTATCAGGACACTGCGGAAAGTAGCCGTTCCACGTGCAATGGACTCCCACTTTCTTTGCACCGGGAGTCCTTCAAAAACAACGAGCCCGAGCCATCATAGAAGGCGCGATCTTCGCGGCCGACGCACTAAAGAAAACTCACGGTGAAGAGCAGTCGTAGTGACTCAAAAAGTCCTTGTCCAACACATCAGCCCTCACTTGACGGTACACGTCTAATCCTTTTCTCAAAGAGACATCGCACACTGCGTTCAGCCTCCCGCTGAACGAGGCTGTAACTTTGTGACCATTTCCAATTGGTAAAAGAATTGCAACACTCTGCTAAAGACTCATGGTGATGTTCAGTTTGTCGACAGCTAGCAGGACCAGGCTCGAAATGCCCAGCTTGATCTACCCCAAACGCAAGAGTTGCGCTAATTTTTGTCCAAAATCATGTCGTGGTATTAGTCTTAAACTGGCTGAAGACGCTTGCTGCACTGATGTGGAATTCCTATCCATCTTTGCGTGTGAGCCTTCCGCTCACACCAACGACAACAAGAACACGAGAAAGTCGCTTGGTTGCATCCCCTAAACTCAAATTTAATCCCTTTTCGAGATCCATTGGGGCAAAAGAGTTGGGAAGCCCATAATCTTCAAGAGAAATGTACCTTAGGTACTAGAACCTGGGAAAAATGCCGCTGGATACATGACTTAGTTGACTCACCTATAGGGTTGGCGTCGCCTCGCTAATTTTAAGGCAAAAAAATTAATTTCAGCGATGCGGATATCCTTTCAGAGCGTCGTCTCACGCTTGAATTTCAATTCGCCGCACGACGCGGACGTCGAGGTGACAACCCATCACTTCAATTCACAGCTCTGGTCGCCTGTGTATAGTTGTAACAGCTCCAACTAAGGTCATTATCATCGTAAGATCGGTTTCACTCGCTATTGGGAAGCGCATTGCGACGGGCAACCCTGCCTCTTTCGAAAGAAGTTAAAAGACGAGAGAGCGCCAGGTCATAAGAGACCGCGGCACCAGGGATTTTTTACTGAAGTAGAACCACATACTTGACGATTAACAGCGTATCGGCTCTATTAGCTCTGGCATACACGTCGGTCTACAAACCATTCTACGCCAATGTAGGTTGCGTGTTGATCATCTAGCGGCGCCGGTATAGGTCCACCCTCCTGTGGCTAGCTTTTTGATCTCCCTTGCTTGTAGTGGCTCATTAAACGTTGACGCTTACCATGAGTCTCGACGTACACCCGAAAGAAACGAGTCAGATCTCCTAGTCACTCAATAAGCTTCGTCATCGCACTGGATACCCCTGGCGGAAGAGAAGTGAAGAGAAGAGAAGACTCATCGAGATGAGATTACAGAATTCGCTTTGAATTGTAGCCGGACTGATTATACAAAGGCGAATTTGATAGATAGCCACTCATTAACTAAAGCCAAAGCAACTTTGTGGCCGTAGCAAAGTTACCCGGGGATTTGCTAAATCATTAATGTAAATAGGATAAATTCTGTAGCAGCATTTACTACGTTATCCAGCGCCAAACATTGAGTGAGAGCCACTGTGGTCTTCAGCGCATGAGCTTTAGAGAAATCTTTCACAGCGCGATTTGCAGGTGACCCTATGTTTGCAGATGATTAACACCTTGAACAATCTTTGCCAATCTCAATCTAGTTAAATGGCTACCGGTAAGCTGTGTCGGCAAAACGCGTCATCGAGGAGCAGGTTGGCTGTATTCTCATCAGTCACATCATCACTGACAGCAGCGAGATGATCTATCTTGCTCAAACGGTTCATAAAGACCACGATATTGTTCGTACCATACGCGTCTTTTGGGAGGCCAAAACTATAGTCCATACTGATGAAGTGCTGACACTCTACCGGGACCGGTAAACTAGCCAAAAGGGTGGCGCCGTATGCGACGGAGGTTTAGACTGCCGCCATGTTTCACACGTGGGCCTACTTGTTTACCTACTTATACATATGGATATAGCGCTCATCGAGCAGGGCGGTTTGTTCTTTCGAGTTGTTGGCCACCTTGAGGGGCTTCATGTGCCTCGCTCTATATTCTGTACTTATTGTCCCCATCCTGAAGCATCAGTACACCCAGAGTGTCGAGTGGGTCTGTGCTGTACTACAGTAAGCCTTAGAATGAGGCAAAGCAGTGCAAGAGTGCACATGCGCTCTTCGGTATGAGCAATATCTATATTTTTACACTTCACCCTTCACCGAATCAGTTACACATTGCGTCTAACCCTACACTTTACTTATCGTCTTATTGATTGGTGACATCATCATTGTGCGATTTGACAAGTAATAGTCAAAGCGACGCAAAGCGCGCCCGCCATCATATCAAGTCTAATCGGCTTACTTCTTACCTCAAATATATTTTCGGTATACGGTAAACATCTTGTGATTTTCTGTCAGTGATGTAGTGACAACGACGCCGTGCGCGACGATGCATGATCTGAACCTTTCTGAACCTGACCAGGGCATACTCCATTGCAGGTAGCTCTTTTTCATGAACTGAGCAGCTCTACTTAGCAGACTTTAGCGGCAAGACTTGAATTCGACCAAGTAGTCATGCTCATAGGCGTTTGCTTGAAGCAAAGCGCCGCCTATTGCAGAGGCGATATAGACAAAGTGGAATAGCCAAACTGGCTTGGAAGAACCAGGTTATGACACGAATGAAAATTCTATATCATATACAAAAGGTTGCCCCTTCCGCCGCACTTCAGCATCATTTTTAGAGATTTGTGAGGGGGTCGCGAAATTGTATACTTTGCAAAGTGCTTGTGCCAAACTTTGGCCAAGCTAAACCGTTATTTTAGGGAATGGGCAAAGCTCATCTACGGTGGCCTATATCTGTGCAGAATATGCCCGGAGACCCTGCTCTGCTTTCGAATGAGACAACGCGAAATTATATCAGAGACACACCTAATTTATATTGATGCATACACTCGAGCACCGCTCGCAAGTGTTCAATTTAGTTTTTTACATCTATCTTCCCGCGCACAGTGCGACTGTGGATGAATGTATCGCTGAAAAAGGTTTCTGCATTACCATGGCGTCCCATGGACAGTGATATCACCAAAGGGTTGGACGCGCAGGTGCATTAAACAATTATCGTCGCAATACCAACCACTCCCAGAGCATCCCGCTCAATGTACTCATCGCAGTGAGAGGAATATTGCTGTCGCGCATCAGATAATAGCTCAAGGCGCTGAGCAAAGTGCAGCCAGCGAAAATGCTCTGGGGTACATCCTTTCTGGGAATCGGTATTGGCACCAAAATCGTAACGGGTGTTTAGTTTGATATAAGCATGCAAATTTCTCCACTTGCCGACAGCTCAAAGACATAAGGTTGGCGCATGCGTGTGAGCATTCACTTTCTCGCTCCGCTTCTTGCAACGTATGGAAGAAAGCGTTAATGACATCACATTGTTCTCTTACGAAGGACGACCGTCGTGTGGCGCAATATCTGGTTTCTAGAATCAAATCAAAATCATGAAGCATTCCTTATCCAGGAGTAAGACAAGTGGTGAATCTCTCGTTGTCATGTCATCATATTATGTTGACCAAAAAACAGAAAAGAGTGCGGTATCCTTGGGATAACTTCTCGTACTCAGTGCTTTGCGAGGTCCTCAGTGACAGAGTTATCCATGACGAGTGACAAACTGAGCTTCCTTCTGGCACCAATCGTACCTGTTTTGGTTACCGTACCAGTTTAGTAACCTCACCGCCTTGTGGTTTCGTGCACATATCCCCAAAGAAAAATTCTGTCAGCTCGAAAATAACTTCTGCTGGACTCTACGAGGGATCACTTGCAACCGCTTGAACAACTCCAGTCACTCCGTTCACAATTGATTATCTTTATTGTCACTTAACCGTGTAGTCTTACTACTTCGCACAATGGTACCACCACCCGGTATTACTGACTCAGCTGTACCGTCACGTGTACCGTCACGTCGTGACAAGTATGAATCATTCATCCTGAATTTAGGGACTGGCCCTTCTACTCGCAGCTTATAGTTGCCCTGAAAATCTACCAGTTCTCGCATGAGCGACACTCAATTTCTTCCATTTTCCAGCAGACTAGGTATAGGAGGCAACTGCCCACAGCTGATCGTTACTAACTCGCCAGAGAAACACTTCGGGGCCACGACGTACATTTGTCCGTTCCTGTCTCATCAGAAATCCAATCCGACACCGCGATATGAGATCGCTCTTTTCTCCCTTGCCCTGAGATCGCGGCTCGCTGTCGCTTCTGTCTTTCAATCTCCGCTCGAGTCATCTAGCTTTCACTAGATTTCACTGCTGCTATCATTTTCAGACAGTCTAAAAGCTTGTATGGAAGATACCGCAGCTTTGTGTCTACCTAATAATCTTTGCTTCCTGGTACGTAAGCTAAATAATTAGCCAAAATCGAACCACGTGTGTCGCATAGCTTTTCCAACTTTCAACTGACTTATGGCTTGTGCTCTATCCACGAATGCCTAGAGTGTGATTGTTGCTTTATTTCTGTATAGAATTAGACAACGTGATACGCTGTCAAAGTCCTCAAAATCCATCAAAAAAATGACAGAACGCTCGTCACATAAACCAGTCCGCGAAACACTGATATCGTATATGTATCGACCGAGGATATTCGATGACTCTGTGTACTGTCTCCTGTATTCGCCAGTCGAGCATCGTATGTAATTGCAACGCCTCTGAGCTATCAGAACTTTGAACGCTGATATCAAAAATCGAGAAGTTCGGGCTGTGGGCGCATCTTCTACTGTCTCTCAGCAAAAGTTGCCCCTTTGAGGGTTGACTTTTATAAGGTACAATAGCAACCTTTTAAGGATGCCTTGCGCCGACTAACCTGACGTTTTCACGCTAACGTTTCGCCGTCCGCCTCTGTGTGGGAGCTCAACCGTTCAAGCCTCTTTGTCGATGGCGATGGGAGCACACAATGCGCAAATGCTTTTACTGCATGGATGAAACGTCTGGTAGTCTCACGGAGCTGCTCAACAGCAAGAAGGTCATTTTCTAGTTTTATAACATGGTTGAGGTCCATCACTCTGGCGACCTCATAAAGATCAACTTCCCGCACCCCCTTTTGGCTTTGCCCGCACAGAAGCTATACTCCATGTCACAAAAGACGCCCCCGCTTCCTTGAAACTTGTAAACGCGAAGGGTCTCGGTGTGTGTCATTTCTAAATATGGCCAGTCATTGCGGTGATAGTTTTCTTAATACTGCGCATAATTTGCTAACTTTCGTCTTCTTTGACAGATGGTCAAGACATTCGAACTCATTTTATGAGCCTGATTTGGCTGTGCGATATCTGTCGCTTTGAATAGTCCCACGTTGAAAGCGCCTCATTTACCAGGGTATTGTAGATAGTGTTTATTCTTGCCGCAGTCTCCTAGCTTTGCGATGCAAATACGACATGATGCCGCTCTGTTCGGAGCATGGTCTGATCCAAATTTTCTCCGCTCCGGTCGTCAAAGATACGGATTGCTTATCATCAGCGGCCATATGGTGGGTACCGTCTCTTTTCTCACAGGTGCCGCTCGGCATCAGTAGCGCATTCTCAAGCTGATGGGCGTTTCCAGAAGCGCGATTACTTCCATTCGATCATTTGACCGTGGTCTCATCTCAACAAATGATATACCAAAGCTTGGTGAGCTGGTCTTTTGATTTCGGATGCAGGATCTCGAGCATTTCATGTGGAAAATACAATTCTTTCTCGACTCAGTCGTAAAATCCAGTTCTAGTTATTCAGTTCAACGGGCGTGCAATGCAGTATGCACAGATAAAGCTTTGAATTCAAAATCTTTGTTAATAGACGCGCAGAAGGCAGGAGCAAAACGGAGAGATTCAACCGTCAATGGTTTACGTGAGCTTTGATACTTCAAGAGCGGATTCATTAAGAACTAATGTAATTTACTGTAGCTATAAGCGCTCAATATTTCGTTTAAAACTGCATTCTCTTTTGACTTGAGGCTAGCAGTCCACGTGTGTCGTGAACCCCTCCTATTCGGAGTTCCATCATATCGAAAATACTGATACTTTGCTACACTAAAATGCAATGTCAAGTAATTGTACCGTTTTGTATCTAACTTAGCTGCGCCAAGGATATAAGTAAACAGGGATAGAAAAACTATCCCGGTACAGACCCCTCCGATTTGAGGGGCAACCATCTAAAAAGACAACTCTCTAGTCATTCAGCAGAAGGATAATTTGCACCCATATGGCGCTCGCTTAGAAGCAGCCGTAGGAGTGGGTTCTTCGTTTTAACAAACATTTCGATAGCATCGTCACCAACGCTATTTTCTCGCTGACAGCCGTGATGTTGTCGTCCTTATCGATGTTAAGAAGCACATTGAACCCTAGAATTCGGACAAGACACGTTTGCCAATGCCTACGAGTAGATTGTGGCTAGTCTAAAATTGCAAAATGAAATGCACGTAATATTACTTACTCCTGTGCAAGGCAGTTAATCCTGGTACGTCCCACCACTGTTCATCGTGATGTTGCGCGGTGTGCCATGGCTTTCCACCTCAAGCTGAGCAGCAGCGTCGTAACCTCGCACATCCTCGATATCAGTCTGCGAGATCAAAGCAGTATAAAACAATATCGGGTGCTCTTGCGCTTGTCATCATCTATATTCCAGGCGCAATATATGCGGTTTTACAGTCATATTTTTGGAGCTATAAGCTGAACCATTAACTCCATTATTTTCTCATGGTTTGTGACCGATATTCAAATGTCAAAATTATCGTAATGAACAATGCTACATGAAAATTTAAGCCTTTCAAGAGGTGTGGTCATATCCAAATCATAGAGAATAAGACCGGAAACGTGCTGGTGACTCGAGGACGGTCAAAGAAGTCTAGAAAATCTTGTGATAGAAGAATGTGCCAGAGAATGCAAAAGGGTGCTGACTGACAGAATTGCGAACGTGAGTAAACTGGTAGACTTTGTATCCTCCGCGTGCGAGATTGAATATCTCAAAAGAACATGTAGACATGTTGCTAGCTCAACATGCTCTCAGCTAAAGCATCAAGCCTTTCCGCATTTGTTGCAAACAGCTTTTATGTACCCATGAAAGAATGGACAAGAAGTACATCGAGAAGTCAGTCTCTCATTCTTATAAACAAATTTTATCGAGCGTTGGGACTTATCCTTACGAATGCGTGCAGCGATATACATGACGACGAGATCACCGAGGTGGTGTAGATATTCCCAGAAGAGGAGCTGATCGTATTCTAGGTCATGGGTGGGTTTACAAAAGCGCTCGATGCAGCTTTCAACTGTAAAGGATGCACTCGTCGTGAATGAACACATATTAATTCCAACTACAAGACTGTTTCATTCTGAGCAGAGCACGTATTTTCGTTGCTTTGCAATTTTGCGAGTTGTGCTTGAGTGTATGCATTTTGATAAGCTGTAGTACAAGTATGTCATAGAAAAAGAAAATGGCTGAAAAAATGAAATATAAGAATAGGGCTATCAAAATCACTTTTTTGATATTCTCACTTGAAATGCGTAGTCCTCATGCAAACGTTGTGACGATAAGATTGCGCGATCACGAAGGTAACCTGGCTTTGTCAACAACACACGGCGATATGCCGGTGTGTAACGGTTGCTCGCTTATCTTTTTAATAGAATATTATATGATTTTGGGAAGGCGGCTCTTCATGCTGTTGAACAAAGCCGCTCGTGTGCTCCTATTCTGACATTCTTGGGCCGAACAAGCCATTTCAAGTTGTCTGTGGTGCTTTGGTCGCTACCAAAGGTTCAACGTTTGTCAAGCTGATGCTAATATGATGCAATAAACGCGCTTCTCTTTAATTTTGCATGCTTTCAGTGGTCTAAAACTTATCCCGTTCATGCAAATAGCAAAGTATACTTTCGTGAAGTTCAGGGTACATCTGCTCCGCTCGAATCCATTTGTGATTTATACGTCTTCATACCTCTCGATAAACAGTTAGTGTGATCAACTTAAAATGTTGGTCAACGCGCTCTCTTGCCGCCCAACCTCGTGTCATCGCAACGTTGCAATCTGTACAGTGTATCTTCACAGATAATTTGTGTTATGCTATTGGCAGCATCGGGAGTCAAACTGTTTTCGGTCTCCAAAATCACGTGACCCAACCGGCTGCAAGCGCGTTTACTCTGCTGATCCTAATTTTAGACTTGGTTGTATTTTCGGCCTTCTTACAAGTTTGAAACTTGGCCGGAAGATTCTACAGCAGGTATATAGTATGACTGAATATAGTAAGATTAAAGATAAAAATGAAAGCTTGGTAAGATGTTGCCGCACAAAGTCAAGCCACAAGCTACAAACTAATCGAACGCTATTTTACCGAAACTGGTTTGAGGGGCCTCATGGCGGGCAAAGCGACAAAATTTTTGCACCCATTGCTCGAAATAAGTCAGAAACTCTGGTCACAGTCACCAGGCCACATGTAAACTTTTGTAATGATATTCTCCAAAGTGCTGTAAATCAAGTATAAGCGGTGATCTTCGTGGTGTGTGACATCGACCTCATTTTATCCCTATAGCAAATCTGACCGCTACACACTTCTGGAGCCGAAAACGCAAAGCGCACCGCATTTAAGGATGAGCGTGGAGGTTGTGTACGTTCAGGTGTTTGAAGTTTTGACTTGATGGGGAGGGAAAGGGTCGTGTAATCGTGGAGATGACGTAGGTGGTTCGTCGGAACTTGGGGATCACTTTAATTGTCTTCTATGAAAGTACCGGGCTTTTCAATCCGATTTCGACATTCTTACGACTTTTGTTGCCAGGGTTGCGACGTTCTCGGCGGATTGTCAAGTCATTCGCTTAACAAATTTGTTGAGGAAAATTTCCCAACCAGATTAACCTCTTGGCAAAGGGGTAGTAACGGGGGGGAATCTTAAGTTTTGTAATCGGAGATTAGCGTGAGCCTTAAGTTACCCTAATGAATAAACACGGTAACGGAATATGATTTTGCACAAGGTTCGAAATCAACGTAATGGTGCTATGATAACGGAGACACGCTAGCTGAAGCCTTACGCATAAATCTGGCTTTAAATTTTAAGAGGGTGAGCTTGTAAAGTATATTTAGGATGCGGAGCCACGATTCTCTCAGTAAACTCAATCTTATAACTGCTTAAGCTTTAGAGGGTATATATAGATCGAAGCGAATCTAGCTAAATTCGATCGCAGATGTATGCATCTATCATATACGACAAAGTATAAAGTAATATATTTTGTGCGGCAAGCCGTCAGCATATTATACAGACCTCTCCTTTTGAAATGCCAAAAAACAATAACGTTCTTAGTAGCACTGTTTATATAGGCTAATGCGGTGGTCGTGCAAGCTGAGTCGTTGTACCTCGGACTTAAAATGAAATCAAAGTACCACGGAAAAGTGCGATAGTGAAGTATCACGATTAGGAGTGGTGACACTCCGCAAAAGCGAGGTTTGTGGAAATACTGGTAGGATTCCATGCGCACTAATTAGGGTTATGCCATCATCGACAAAAGTATCCAAGTCAAAAAGAGTCTTGATTTATGATCCTAGGGACGATCGGAGTACCCATCTTTTGTACGAGTTGCACAGCATTCTCTTTGCTTTCAGTAGCGTTTGTTCTCACACTGATGACTCAGTCTGTGTATCTTCTAGCGTGAAGTGTCAACGAATCAAAGCCCGAGACGACATCGCATGCGATAAAACTTCTATTTCTAGTTGGGATAGTCAAAGCGGAAGCGCAAAGAACGAGCCAAGGTCCGTAAGTGGTTACCGCTCTTCGGAGCTACAAAACTGCACCTCTAGATGAGTCTCAAGCAGACAACAATAGACACTCTATCAGTTTTTATAAAGTTTATTAGGGCAAATCCACTCGCGTTATGCGCTAAAACCTGAACAAATGGGCAGAGAATCCTCGCTGGGTACACGCTCGACCCTGCTCCAACCCGCGTCTTGCGCATGAGTGGGTATAGACATGTGACAGTAATCAAGACATTTTCTTCGTGAATGTTAGTCAAGCGACGAGTCCGAAACATCAAACAGGCTTACTGCTTGCAGTCAAAACTCATCAAATTTGTAGAAGCTTCGAACGTTGCTTTGATTACACAATAGATCTTTTGATCTGAAAATAATTGTTGTGTGTGGGATGCGAAGGAAAAAATAAGCGTGCCAGAATATATAGAACTCAGCTGGACTTTGTATGACTTTAGTTATATCTTGGATGCAAAGCAGTGTCAGTGTAACGGGGTTACACATATCCTGGAACCAGGGGTGTGTCTCACACCAGATAGGCATGGTGTGACCACACCCAAACAAGAATTCGGTACGGGGCTGGATAGCCAGGAGTTATACATGTATTTCAATTTTACTATACATATTTGGGC